GGAGGGGGCGCTAAGGAATTTAGAGGCGGCATCAAGCAATTCTGAACTGAGTGCATTTGTACTTTTGATAATGTGTTACAATATCACCCCCCCCCCTTTCTCCGCCCATTTTAATTATAAACAACAATAATTTAAACAACTATTTTACAAGAAAAAGACAAGGACGTGTTTGTTTCCGGGAGCAGTTTATAGAGGTATCGTTAAAATAATCGAATTCATATGATAGATAACATGGACATTTATTAGAGATAAAGTACAAATTCTGAGCAAAACGTTTCTCTATAATTTCTATGTCGACTGTTCTTTTTTTTCCGGGGAGTTCTCCTACTGTTAATTATTTTTTAAAGTTGGAAAATGCTTGGTGGGAATGGGGGGGGGGGGGGGTGGAGAGGGTATGGGGAAATTTTCCTTTCTATATATTAATTAAACAGGGCGGCTCCTAATAAAGGTTTAAAACCACTGCTACAGTCTAATCATAATGAAAGTGAATAAAGACAAGAGCCTGAAAACCTTCCAAGAAATAACAGCGCGCAGGCCTTGACAAAAGGATTCACAATTATGTAACCAGACGGTTTAAATAGGCTAATTGCCTTTGTACATCACAGCTCACTGTAATTACAGTTTATAGTCCCGAAGACACGATCTTTCATGTATGAAATCAGTATCACCTGACAAGAAACAGCGACGCCGTGACCTTTTATAAATTACTAACTTGATTCTTTCTATGAAAAATCAGCAAAAGTAAGCTATTAATTCACTACAGATTGTTCAAATGAACAAAGTTTACTCAAGCAAGCTTGCCGTAGAGGGCGGGTTAATTATAATGTGTGATTATGCGGAAATAATATTTGATTCTGGAAATTAAAAGGTACGGATGTTGGCCAAAACTTCTGTGATGATCATTAATTCGCTCGAGACGCACAAATTGAAAGCCATGTCGCAGGGAGGATCGATCGAGTTTGCATAACAGGAAATGACATTTGTAACGCTTTCTGTGATTACCAGTATCGATTTTTCAAAGGTGTTGTGTTATTTTTTAACTCGTATTAATAATCGAATCCGGATTAGAAGTCAAAGAGGTAGCTTGTCTATCGTTTCGTGTATGTTCGCTAAAAAAAACTGTATTGAGGTAATTACTATCTTGTACATGGTCATCAATACAGACTTTGACCCCATTTAAAGATAACTAAAAGAAGGCAGGCTTTAGCAGCTACAGCCTATATTACTGCGTTAATAATTATAAACTGTCTTTATCTTCACATATATTTTCTAGGTTAACAGGAGACATTTTATCGGGAACGTTGAGTGTTCAAAATATTTTACGCAAAACTCAAGTTCTGAAACAAGACAAAAGTCCGGAAGTGGATGAAAAACCAGAACTTTCAGCCGGAGTTTACAGTCGGTAAACACAAAGACGAAGAAGAAGAAGAAGAAGTTTATATAGCTGTGCAGTTTTCAAAGTCATTAAAGTATATGGTTTTTTGTCGCCAATGTGGTTTAGAGTTTGTAAAGGTAGTTTAACAATGCCTAAATACCAGGATTCAAAGTCAGATGCCGACGATTTTGTAGCAGGCCACCTTGCGGTGATTTCAACAACGACACGAGCGTAATGGCCTACTGTTCATAAAAGTTAGTTGCGTATCCTGTACAAGGCGTTGTAGAATGAGCCCCAGCATTTTCTAGTTGTTTCTGACTTCACTTGACATTTTTACGATTAGTTCGCCATTACTTTCTCACAATCGGCTCTCGATACCACTATCGAAACCAACGCAAGACTGTCTGTTGCCAAATAACCCGCAGCTGGGATCGAATCCGGGGTTTCTGAGACTTGCGCCCGGGTGATTCTCATCAAAATGGTGGCACTTTGTGTCACCGGGTTCTTGCCCGTTGTGCGGTCCTCGTGGGGTTGAGCGTCATTCATTAACATGTGTTGCAGATTGAGTGAATATAACTAGGGTTTTAAGTTTTCTAGAACATAATGTGCCGGTACACATCACGAAGTGTCGATTACAGAAGCGCTTACACATTTAACATACTCTCTGACGAACTCTTGTCCACAATAGACGCTGACTGCTGTTAGTATTCCACTAGAGAAAACAGCACGCGAACCGCGGAAGCACTACTGTATCGCACAAGCTAACGGACCCGAAGCTGGCAGGTTTGAAGTCAATAGCTTTTAACAGAGTTAAAGAAATCACGAATTGAAAATAAAAATAAAAAGCTAACTGTTCAGTGGAGAGAGACTGGACAATGTATGATAAAACCCGGTGCAATGAAGTCAATCTTCTCACTAATATTTTGTGAAAATTAAGAATAAATTCTTTGTAGAAGTGGACATCGATTGCTCGATACATTTTAAGATATGTCAGTACAACCTCGATATTACAAAGATGCAAACAAGTATACATGTTTATAATTAAGATCCATGTTGTTTACCGAAATAGTCACATAAACCATTCAAGATGTCCACGCTGGATCGTTCGAGAAATGATCACACTTTTGAAAGTTTCATTCACGGACTCTACAGTTACTACAGCTTCTTTCTTCTACTGGCAGGATGCATCTGCAACCCCCTGTCGTTTATTGTGTTCAGTCGGAAGGCATTTCGCGGAACCACTACGTCCATTTACTTAAGAATACTTTCTGTTTCCGATCTAGGAGTCATTCTTAACGGCTTTCTACCCTATGTTATCGTGCGGGCTTTTAATATAAACCTCAGAGCTAACGATACTGCTTGTACCGTGAGTATGTTTGTCCATTTCTTACTGCTTTACTCCAGCAGTTGGGTTCTGGTTGTTGTCACTGTGGAGAGAGTCATTTCAATTCTTTGGCCGTATCGGTTAAAAGTATTTTGTGTTTATTCAAATTCCATTGCCGGTGTGATTTTCGTCAGCCTCTTGGTATTTTTCGGGCCACTCAGCTTGTTGTGTTCATTTCAGTATAATGATATGGTTGTCGTATCTCTTGATTTAAATGTTACGGAAATCCTTCATTGTGTTACTTTCAACAGCCAATACGGGGCATTGCCGCTGTTTGTAACTGACGCTGTGGTGTTTGCCTTTTTACCGAGTGTTATCCTTATACTGTGTAACTTCTTTATTGTTCATGCTGTCATTGAAAGCAGGAAACGAGTCATGAGAATGCAAAACACAGAAGTCACCACTAATACAGGTGCGGAAGACCACCAACAGATCAATGCAGAAGTCACCACTAATACAGGTGCGGAAGACCACCAACAAATCAATGCAGAAAACCAGTTGGCAATTCGTACTAAAAAAGCAGGCGTGAAAAATGGCCTCCGTAAGCTGACAAACATCATATGGAAAATTACATCAGTGAAAATGAGAACGAGGACTGCCAAAGAAACATCGCTAACGCTGATGCTAGTAACGATAAGTACAACATTTATCATCTGTAACTTCCCAATCTGTGCATTTGGTTTCTGGGTTACATTTAAGACAACCCCAGGTCGTGTGGAATTTGCACTAAACGACCTGCTGTTTTTCCTAATGTATACAAATAACTACTTAAACTTTTTCCTCTACTGCATCAACGGAACAAAATTTCGAGCGGAAGTAATGGGTTTTTTAAAAGATGTGACATTATGGTGTCGGCATTTACATACGCATAACTAAAAGCTTAAAAATGTAATAAATGACCAAGGGGTTTGTCGGGTTGTATCAGTTTCCTTTCTTGTGTCAATATCTACTTGATGCCGCTACGTGTCGCAGATGATTGTTAGCCGTGCCAGGGCAGGCTCGGTTGCTTTGTATGTTGTGAAGTCTTCAATTTTCAATGATAGCCTCCTGGGAGAGAGAGTCTTGAAATTGCTTACTGATTGGCTGGTTCTGCCTAAGCTAAAGATGGCCGTCCTATGAATTGCTTCAACACTGTTAATGGTCTTAGTGACATGACCGGAAGCTTTTTGGGAGTTTCGAGTCCATAAGAGAATGCGAAACGCCGGGTGCTTTAAAATATCCTACCCTTGATGATGTCACAGGACAGTCCTACATTTCAGAGGGTGATAAGACTGGGTTTCCCGGCTTTTTAATGCTTTTAACGACCCTAAAACATCTAGAACTGGCCTAACCCTAACCCACCTACATCCCACGAGAGAGTGCAGCCTGTCTACCACCCCATAAAATATTAGACTGTCCCGTGACCTGTGGATTTCCCCTGTTTGGGGTAGGATATTAATATAACGCTAAAAGCGGTATAAAAAATCGACACAACCAGGCACGAGATGCTCAACGGAAGAACGAGAAGTCTAGTTACCAAGCATAGGCATGGTACCATTAACCGCAGGGCACTGCGATACAAGTTGAAGAATAAATTTGTACACATATGGACATGTCCTAAGTGCCGTGAAACCCAACTCAGAATTCCTTCCTGGGGATTTATCTTGACCCCCCCCCCCCCCCCCCCCCCCCCCTTTTACTACAATACATCCCCTTGTGGGATGCAATTTGTTTTGTTACTGTGAAGCGTCACATTGGCTCTAGGAAGGGGTCGGAAAATATGGTCCAATAGCTTAACGCGGTTCCTGGGACTTCTCCACGGGTGATCCTCATCCACATGGTGCCACTTTGTGTCATCTGGTGTTTATCGCTTGTGTGACGTCCTTGTGGGGTAAAATGTACTACTACTACTCTCCATAAAATGATAACGTTATCCCAATGTGGGATGTAATGTTTAGTTTTTTTAGAAGCCCCACACTGGCTTTAGCCGGGGCCCTAAATATAGCCTGGCATGAAATGTGGTCTAACGGCTGAACGGGTGTTTTGGGACCTCTCCGCCGGTGATCCTCATCCGAATGGTGGCACTTTGTGTCACCGGATGTTTATCGCTTGTGTGATGTCCTGGTGGGGTACAATTACCTACGCACAAACTCCCAATAATGCTTAAATCCGGTTTCGTCTCTGCCTGGTGACCTAAAAAAACACAGATAAATGGGAACAATGAAACAAGACACTAATTCATACTTGCATTCTCCTGGCTTGTTGCATCCTCCATAGATTGCGTGACAGCCTTGTCGACATATGGCTGTTGAGAAAGACAGCAACACATTAGGTTAACCGATAAACATCAGCCGCTAGAACAATAGGTGATACACCCGCGAGCAAACGCTCGCTCATACAACAATGCAATTTGTTGAACTCGACACCGCTCGTAATGAGAAATCGGGTAAAGTGAATTCTAATCTTAACCTCTAATCTAAAACCCCGGAAGTAGTCAGTGATGTAGCAACTGTGTCGTCGGTTGCCAGGGACGCACGTGATGGATGCAGCCCATTAGCTAGGAAGTAACAACAGCTTTCCCCAGGTATTATCGTGTTGACCATTCATCTCTGGGTTTACCTGCAAAGACATATCAGGTTTTTATCTTTTTTCCAATGACAGTTGCCTTGCGTGAGATGGGACTAGTTGATCAATTGATAAAGCTACACAAATCACACGCCAGATTTGATTTCACACAAATAGATTAAGTGTTAGCATTACAGATGGAGATTGAGTAGTTGTAATTAAACATATTTGTCTATTATTTCTTGGTTTGTTAGTTTCTTTTTTTTTTTTTTCTTTCTTACATTGTTTTCTTTTTTTTTTTTTTTTTGGGTCAGTTGTATGTGTTTTTTCTTCTCTGCTCTTTTCTTTGTTCTTACTATTTCTTGGGTTCTTTCAATCTGTCTTTATCTTTTGTCTTTATAGTTCTTAATCAGTTGTTTAATTCTGCCACTGTCGCTTTCGACAGACAGACAGACAGACAGACAGATAGACAAAGAGAGAGAGAGAGAGAGAGAGAGAGAGAGAGAGATCAATCGATCGATCAATCGATCAATAGATAGATAGATAGATAGATAGATAGATAGATAGATAGATAGATAGATAGATAGATAGATAGATAGATAGATAGATAGATAGATAGATAGATAGATAGATAGATAGATAGATAGATAGATAGATAGATAGATAGATAGATAGATAGATAGATAGATAGATAGATAGATAGATAGATAGATAGATAGATAGATAGATAGATAGATAGATAGATAGATAGATAGATAGATAGATAGATAGATAGATAGATAGATAGATAGATAGATAGATAGATAGATAGATAGATAGATAGATAGATAGATAGATAGATAGATAGATAGATAGATAGATAGATAGATAGATAGATAGAAGATAGATAGATAGATAGATAGATAGATAGATAGATAGATAGATATAGATAGATAGATAGATAGATAGATAGATAGATAGATAGATAGATAGATAGATAGATAGATAGATAGATAGATAGATAGATAGATAGATAGATAGATAGATAGATAGATAGATAGATAGATAGATAGATAGATAGATAGATAGATAGATAGATAGATAGATAGATAGATAGATAGATAGATAGATAGATAGATAGATAGATAGATAGATAGATAGATAGATAGATAGATAGATAGATAGATAGATAGATAGATAGATAGATAGATAGATAGATAGATAGATAGATAGATAGATAGATAGATAGATAGATAGATAGATAGATAGATAGATAGATAGATAGATAGATAGATAGATAGATAGATAGATAGATAGATAGATAGATAGATAGATAGATAGATAGATAGATAGATAGATAGATAGATAGATAGATAGATAGATAGATAGATAGATAGATAGATAGATAGATAGATAGATAGATAGATAGATAGATAGATAGATAGATAGATAGATAGATAGATAGATAGATAGATAGATAGATAGATAGATAGATAGATAGATAGATAGATAGATAGATAGATAGATAGATAGATAGATAGATAGATAGATAGATAGATAGATAGATAGATAGATAGATAGATAGATAGATAGATAGATAGATAGATAGATAGATAGATAGATAGATAGATAGATAGATAGATAGATAGATAGATAGATAGATAGATAGATAGATAGATAGATAGATAGATAGATAGATAGATAGATAGATAGATAGATAGATAGATAGATAGATAGATAGATAGATAGATAGATAGATAGATAGATAGATAGATAGATAGATAGAGAGAGAGAGAGAGAGAGAGAGAGAGAGAGAGAGAGAGAGAGAGAGAGAGAGAGAGAGAGAGAGAGAGAGAGAGAGAGAGAGAGAGAGAGAGAGGAGATAGATAGATAGATAGATAGATAGATAGATAGATAGATAGATAGATAGATAGATAGATAGATAGATAGATAGATAGATAGATAGATAGATAGATAGATAGATAGATAGATAGATAGATAGATAGATAGATAGATAGATAGATAGATAGATAGATAGATAGATAGATAGATAGATTAGATAGATAGATAGATAGATAGATAGATAGATAGATAGATAGATAGATAGATAGATAGATAGATAGATAGATAGATAGATAGATAGATAGATAGATAGATAGATAGATAGATAGATAGATAGATAGATAGATAGATAGATAGATAGATAGATAGATAGATAGATAGATAGATAGATAGATAGATAGATAGATACTTTCTTCAACCAGTAAGACGAGTGGTACTTAGGTACACCTTCTGTCTATCTTCTTTTACCCCACAAGGACATCACACAAGCGATAAACACCCGATGACACAAAGAGCCACCATGTGAATGAGGATCACCCGTGTAGAGGTCCCAGAAACCGCGTTCAGCCATTAGACCATATTTTTGGCCAGGCTATATTGCGGTCCCTGGCAAAAGCCAGAGTTAGGGCTTCAAATAACGAAAAATTGCATCCCAAAAAAGGATGACAAGGTATAGGTACACAAGCGGGTAGAAAATTGGATGGGTAAGTTGCCAGTGGTTCAGCTACATAGGAATCGTAAATTTAAACAAGCGACAGCCGTAATGTAAAACCAATCCATATCGCAAACTCTACAAACCCAACCCCGCAAGCAGCAAGTAAGTAGGCAGACAGAGAAGTAAAGCAAGTAGGCAGGAAGACTGGCATATGGCCAAATTAGTAAAGTAGTCATAATTTTTAAAGGGTCGATCCCTAAAACGCCGGTTTGGCCGCCGGACTTCCAGAAGGATGTTACGTCGGTAATCTAGGCCAAATGCGGGAACTGCACATTGTTGGCTATTGCCGGTTGGGCTTTGTCCTGTTTCTGAGTTTGGCGAAAGAGCCAGACCCTGTGCAATAGAACTTATCATCATCATCATCGTGTAGCAGGTCCTTTGCAGAAAGTCGCACTCATAATGAGCTACAAAAAGGCAACTGTCTTTGTGTGGAGGTTAGACTCTGGCCTTCGGATCGGAAGGTCGTGGGTTCAAAAATTACCTTGGTTGCTAGGTCGACCTGGTATTAAATGGATACATGGTAAAATCCTGGGAAGTAAAGGCGGCCGACGGGATGTTGATGATATCACCGACCGAGTGCCGATTGATCTATAAGAAAAGGTCTAGCTCTATATATCTTTTGTTCTTCTTTGCGTTCAGGTCAGATCGTCAGATGTTCTGCCTCGCGTGTTAGTTGCAGGTCCCTCCTTAGACCTCTGTGCCTGAAAGCGTGGGAAATGGTCGTTTACTTGACTTACTTACTGTCTTGTAACTTGCTGAGACATGATTGAAGAATACATCAACATCAAAAGCGTAAAATTTAGAACTGTCCTTGATCGCACTATCGCCTTTTTCTGCCATGGAGGTAGGTAAGCAGGTTCACACAGTAGGCATTGAGATAGGTCGGTAAATATTTATGTAACTTGTTGTGTGGGAGTCGCCGTGGCGGAGCGGCTAGTAGAGCCAGACTTTTTTCAAAAACGACCTTGGCTGCCAGGTCGACCCAGCCTTGAATGGGTACCGGATGAAGTCCCGGGAAGTGTAGGCGGCCGGCGTCATGCTGACCACACCACCCATTTTGTGATGACTGGTCTATAAAAATATAGGTCTAGCCCTATATGTTCTATATTTATAAAGGCGCGGAAAAGGGTCCTTTACTTTACTTTTTACTTGTCGTGTACATAATTTAAACGAAAAAATATGTATTAAGAGTAATAGCTGCAAAACGTTGAACTGACCCACATCGCACTCTCGCCCCATCCAGCCATGCAGGCACATCTTATCTCCCTGCGAGTCACAAGTGAAGTGGCCGAAACTGTCGTCCCTGGGTCTGCACATGAAAGGGCATCAAGAGCAGAAATATGATATAATTCCTTTGCTTCACACTATTTTTAAAAAAAGGTGTTTGTAAAATCTCACTACACTCTGTATGCAGAACAAATATATTTGAGGAAAGGAGGTACATGACCTTTCCAGAATATGTGCTCCACAGCTTATCGAGAAGCAGTATGCAGTGATTGGCTTTCGTCTGCTGGAATAATTCTTTTCATTAAACAAAGAATAGCAAAGAAAAATTTCTTTGTATTCAAAACAGAATCCTGGAAAGTCCGAGCAAGTACTTAAGGAAAATACACAGACATGTTTTCAAGCCCGTGGTGGAAATTTCCAATATCTGTTATAATTTATTGATACTTTCTAGTTTAAAAAAAAAAAAAGCAGTAATTACTGTAACTAATTTAATGACATTTTTCTAATGACGTCATTTACTTAGTTTTTCAGATTTGTTCTGCATACAGGTGTAGGGAGACTTTACAAACAACCTGTAGTTGTGATTGTATGTGACACCTTTCGGCGTTTCCAGACGACAGTGTTACGTTGTGTTATTAGGAGGCATGGGAATCAAACCGGTGGTGACTCTTCCCATAGCACAAAGCCTGAGTATTATTGAAGAGACTATGTGCTGTCCATGCAACATAATCCCCCCTCGGCCTGTCTTGTTTACTACAAAGGAAAGGTAACACCAATACGTTTGTAACAAAGGTCTACGAAAGCAGCAGATCGAAGATCAGTGCTCTACGTGTCCGTCTGTGGAGCTTCGCTCCTAGTCCACCTGCAGGTCATGGTTAAAGTCCTACACTAAATACACGTGACGCCAACAACCATCATGAGATCCCAGGCTCAAATTGTGGAAGACTTGTCATAATGTTGGTGGGATTACTAGCCACATACAGATGTCTTCAAGCCATCATGATGTTTACAAATTGACCAAAATATGCATATGTCTCAGTATGAGACAGGGTGCTGTTTATGAGCCAATTCTCCTCGATGTTTAGATCTTGTAGGATGTCAGCGGTTTTTGTTATTTAACAGATAAGATTACAAATGCTTACGTATTCTACCACATGTAATTTATACTTAGTTAATCATTGCATCTAGTCTATATCCGTGATCTTAAACTGGTGGGCCGTGTAAAAGTGCAAGTGGGCTGTCAAAATTGCCTAATAATGTATCTGGTTGGGGTGGGTGATTTGTTTATTTTTACTTCCATGATTAAGGGGGAATTTTTTTTTAACTTCTAGGATTGCAGGGTGGCTTTTTTCCACTTCCATGATTGCAGTGTGGTTTTTCAACTTCCAGGATTGCAGGGTGGTTTTTGTTTTCACTTCCAGGATTGCTAGGTGGTTTTTCACTTCCAGGATTGCAGGATTTATTTTTACTTCCAGGATTGCAAGGTGGTTTTTCACTTTTAGGATTGCAGGGTGGTTTTTTCCACTTCCAGGATTCCAGTGTGGTTTTTCAACTTCCAGGATTCCAGGGTGGTTTTTGTTTTCACTTCCAGGATTGCTAGGTGATTTTTCACTTCCAGGATTGCAGGATTTATTTTTACTTCTAGGATTGCAAGGTGGTTTTTCACTTTTAGGATTGCAGGGTGGTTTTTTTCCACTTCCAGGATTCCAGTGTGGTTTTTCAACTTCCAGGATTCCAGGGTGGTTTTTGTTTTCACTTCCAGGATTGCTAGGTGGTTTTTCACTTCCAGGATTGCAGGATTTATTTTTACTTCCAGGATTGCAAGGTGGTTTTTCACTTTTAGGATTGCAGGGTGGTTTTTCAACTTCCAGAATTGCAGAGTGGTTTTTGTTTTCACTTCCAGGAGTGCAGGGTATTGTTTTTTTCACTTCCATGATTGCAGGCTTTTTCCTTTCCGTGATGTGATTGCAGGATATTTTTTTTTCCAGGATTGCAGGGTTGTTTTTCAACTTCCAGGATTGCAGGGTGGTTTTTGTGTTTACTTTAGGATTACTAGGTGTTTTTTCACTTCCAGGATTGCTGGTTTTTTTTTTTTTTCCACTTTCAGGAATGCAGGGATTTTTTTTTTTACTTGCAGGATTGCAGTGTGGTTTCCACCTCCGGGATTTCAGAGTAGTTTTTTTTTCCACTTCCAAGAATGCAGGGTGATTTTTTTTTTCCACATCCAGATGGCAGGGTGGTGTTTTAACTTCCAGGATTGCAGGATTTTTTATCACATCCAGGATATCAGGATGGCTTTTTAACTTCCAGGCTTGCAGGATTTTTTTTTCACTTCCAGGATTGCAGGATTCTTTTCACTTCCAGGATTGCAGGGTGGTTTTCCCTTCCAGGATTGCAGGGTGTTTTTTTTCACTTCCATGATTGCAGGGTGGTTTTTTTTTTACTTCTACGATTGCAGAATGGTTTTTTTCCACTTCCAGGATTGCACGGCGGTTTTCACTTCCAGGATTACAGATTTTTTTTTTTTCACTTTCAGGATTGCAGGTTTTTTCGCTTCCAGGATTGCAGGGTGTTTTTTTTTTTACTTCGAGGATTACAAGTTTTTTCACTTCTAGGATTACAGGTTTTTTCACTTCTAGGATTGCAGGTTTTTTTTCACTTCCAGGATTGCAGGTTTTTTCACTTCCAGGATTGCAGGGTTTTTTCACTTCCAGGATTACAGGGTGGTTTTTTTTACTTCCAGGATTGCAGGGTGGTTTTTTTCACTTTCAGGAATGTTGGTGTTTTTTTCATTTCTAGCATTGCTGGGTGGTTTTTTTTTACTTCCAGGATTGCTGAGTGGTTTTTCACTTCTAGGAGTGCTGAATGTTTTTTCACTTCCAAGAGTGCAGAGTGGTTTTTTCACTTACAGGATTGCTGGGTGGGTTTTCACCTCACGATTGCAGTCTGTGGATTAACACCTCCGGGGTGAGAATAAAACAAGTACTAAATCCGGGAAACTCGGCCAAACTGCCTAAAACAGGTACTTTAGGGCTCCCGACGGTTATGTAACCCCACGGATAAGACAGTTTCTGTCTTTGGTTTGCTGTCAGGTGGTCGGCAAAACTATTTCTCTTGTTTTTGGTGTGATCCCGAGGGTGTAGAAAGGTTGAGAATCACTGGCATATATAATTACACTTTCACAGCGTATACAATTTAAATCTTCATTTCCTTCGCGTTCACCGGCTGTTAACTCTGGTGGACAGTTCTGGTTGTTCGTCCACTTCTGAGCTCTAGTCATCTTCCAGAACCTTAGTGTTGCGTGCACATCTGTTTTACAGATCTGACTCATGTGTATGCAGACTGTTTTTCCTTGCTTCTCTGGCAGATGAACTCCTGCTTCGGAAAGGGGGAGGGGGGCACAAACTGAAATTAAATCTTACCTGCACAGCTTAGTACACGTGGTGTTGTAGTAGTGCTCGTCGCACCTCACTCGCAGGCGGAATGTGGTGCTGGCTGTGATGCCTGAGTGGCTGATGGTGTGCCAATCTTGTCCGGGCAGGATCATCCCCGTGTGGACTGTCCGCTCGATGAGGTCATCTGTGGATGGAGAACATTAGAGGGCTCTTCGAAACTAGGAGAATTTCTGAGAATTTGCTGGGATCTGTTGACCATTCGGACCTTTGGGCTTCGGGTCACTTGGCTCACGTCACTTGGCTCACGTCACTTGGCTCAGGCCACTTACCTCAGGCCACTTGGCTCAGGTCACTTGGCTCACGTCACTTGGCTCATGTCACTTGGCTCATGTCACTTAGCTCAGGCCACTTGGCTCAGGCCACTTGGATCACGTCACTTGGCTCACGTCACTTGGCTCATGTCACTTGGCTCATGTCACTTGGTTCATGTCACTTGGCTCAGGCAACTTGGTTCGTTCCACTAGGCCCATGCCACCTGTGACAGTACTGGCAATGATCAGTGACGCTCCCCTAGTTACCTGTATAGTTAGATATATATATAACAGAAGTTAGAGGACCCGATTTCCCCTATTACTTTCCGCTAGAAACCAGATAGGACTAGTTACATTCAAATCATGGAATAATAGTTTTGCAACCAATCACAGTGCCCTGTCCGACCAATAAAATAGAACGTACCAGATGGCGCTCCATCTTTTTGGCGCATGCGCATGGCTGGCGTCACGTGGGTCAGCCATTTTGAACGGAAGTCGCCATGTTTCGGGCATTTCAATTCCAACTGTGTTGAGAGCGGAGGCCGGTAGTTTTCAAGTGCAGTATTCAGATTAGCGAGTGTAGTTCTATATTAATTCGTTCTGGATTACTGTAGTGATTTCTGACCGATCTGAGGGCCCTGCGGCATTTTTCATAACACCAACGACTCAACGATTAGTACACAATTGTACCCATTGTCATGTCGCCATAGAATCGGCACAGACAAAGAGACAGTTTAAGGGATTTAATCCCAGTATTCAAAACCGACTATTAGTCGTATTTTTAACCGACCACGCGTCGTATTTTCTAAACGACCACGTGTCGTATCTGAACTTTAAGAACATCAGCGGTGGATTATCAACAAGAGGATATCCCAAGAAATAAGATCTACAAGAAGCCAAGTGTTCCGGTTTCCCCATCAAGTCCAACCTTTGGGAGTATCCACGGGTGAGCTGTACTCGTGCGGGGAAGGAGCTGGACCCAGTAGACATTTCTCTTACCTGATGATGAGAACCATTGGGTTAAAAAACAAACACCAAACCACTGTCAATTTTTAGCCAGTCAGCTGTCAGTAAAATTAAAGCTACATCATTCTTCATTCACTACTACTCTCGTCTGTCTTTGTTGCTGTGCGTGAGTAAAAAGTGAGTGAGCGAGAAGGGGGCATTCTTTGCTTTCTCTCTGGGAGCTCTTTCTTTAAAAGTGGCAGAGGAGTTGCCACCAGGATAACTAGTCTGCCTAGCACCACACCATCGGAGCGGGGTAGACTTATCTTCTTGTTCTCTGTCCCAGGAGTAATATCTCGGTCTCTCTACCCTAGTAGACAATGAAGTACCATACTTCTAGTGAGCCACATATATAGACTGAAGATATCTCCTGTATAGGAACCCTACCCTTCCTAGGGCTCTCCTATAATTGTGACAACTGGGAGCTCGTCCGGGATTTTACCAGAGACTATTTCCTAGTAGTCTATAGCTTTATAGGTACTGCAAAACTGTTTAATAAGACTGAGCTAAAAATTGATGGTTTAAAATGTTTGTGTAAAATGATTCAAAATTTTAAGTAGTTCAGTTCCAGACCTGGTGTTTTGTTACATACTGTTGTTGTTACGTTTCGTATCTGTTGTGACGTGTATAATACATACAGTACTATTTGGTGTTCTACTGTAACTGTCAATCATAACTGCTAAGTGATTCTGTTGCGTTGATCTGGTTTTTCTGTCTACTCTGCCTACTAAACAACTTACCCCTCAGGTCATTGATAGAAGCCACTACCTATAGTCATGCCTTTCAAAAGACCAACTATGGCTGAGATAAGGGAAATAGGAATAGAGCTGGGGCACGAGGGTGAAGAGTTAAAAAGGTACATGCAAGATGTAGATAGAGAATACAGGGTGGATGAAAGAGAGTATGGTAAGGCTGAAGCAGAGGCTAAGGAAAGAGCCTCAATTCGAGAAGAAAAAAAAGGCGGAGAAAGAAAGAGAAAGGGTAGAGATAGAAAAAGAAAGGCAACATGAAATTAGACTTCGTGAACAGGCCCCAACACCCTCCTCGCCGATTCCCAACTATTCTTTACCTAGCCCTGAGGGTTCATCTCAGAATAATCTTGTGGGGGCCCTGAACTTTCCCTTGATGCACTTCGATGAAAAAGCAGATAAAATAGACACCTACTTAGAGAAATTCCAAAAGATGGCTGAGAACTACGGGCTGGAAAAAGAGAAATGGAACTTTAAGGTTTCTCAGGGGCTTCGTGGAGTAGCTTATGATGTTTACAATCAGTTACCTCGGGGTCAGGAAAATGACTTTGATGCATTAAAGCAGGCACTTCTCAAAAGATATGAGCTTACCTCCGGAGCTTATAGGCATAAGTTTCGAACAGCCCAACGGCAAGCGGGTGAATCGTTTAGCCAACTGCTGAGTAGACTCCAAGGCTATCTTTCAAAATGGATGACTTTAGGGGGTCATGATCACTCATGCGATGGGTTGGAAGAAATGGTGCTGGCTGAGCAACTGAGGGAGTGTTTGTCGAAACCTATGCAGACTTTCTTAACAGAGAATAGGGCTGAAAGCTTAGACGACATGATTACTCTTGCAGAACGCTATCATGCAGCCCATGGGGAAGTATATCTTTTAAGCCCAAACCCCAACCCACCTTTGAAAAACCTCCGGTGAAAACACCCGTACAACCTTATAAAAATGCCGCAAAGGGGCCCAAACCCCAACATAATCCAAACCAAAACCCCCAGCCGCAACTAGCGTCAGGGTGGAGAAATCCATACTGCAAATATTGCAAGGTTAATACCCACTACACGGCCGAATGCCCGAAAAAACCTGCCCCTCAGTACGCGGCATGTGTGGCAGCTGAAAAGCCTCCTAGTGTACTCTTCCCTAATACGAGGAGACCACCCGTGGTGAAAGTGATCTCAGTCAACCGACAGAGAGTCGATTGTCTCTATGATACCGGCCTCCAGTATGACAGTTTAATTGCATCATTTCTGGTAAAACCTGGCCAGCTAACTGGAGACACTATTAAGGTCCGCGGGGCTACCAAGAGTTCCCCCACTATGACTTTGCCTATAGCTTTAGTTGAAGTGGAGTCCAAGTATGTTACTGGGACTGTATCCACTGCTGTGGTAGATGATCCGATTTATCCTTTTATCCTAGGGTGTTGGTATGTTTATTTAAGTGAACCATCTACTCCCATAGCTCTAGCGGCTGTACAGACCAGGTCTTAGGCTAAAGATAGCCTAGAGCCTGTTCAGCCTTTAAACCCCCTTCCGGGTGAAATAAGGGCTGCCCAAAAACAGGTCCATACCCTTCAACCATGCTACGGAAAGTTGCCCAAAGCCCAAAACCCTCCTAGTAAGGGAAACTTTTATGTCAAAGGTAATTTGCTGTACCGGAGGGCAGGAAAAGATGGAGATGAGTTTGGTTAACTTGTTGTACCTTCCCCCTACTGGACGCAAATATTGCACATGGGACATACTATCCCATTCTCTGGACATATGGGGATTGGGGCTACACAGCAACGTATCGCCTGCCATTATTACTGGCCGGGAATGAATGGGGACATTAAGCGGTATGTAAAGTCATGTCCAGAATGCCAAAGGGTAGCTCCCAGGCATTGGACAGTTCCAGTAACTTTAGGTGACATGCCGTTGATGAACACTCCATTTGAGAGAGTGGCAGTCGACATAGTCGGTCCACTCCCTCGCACCAAGAAAAAGAAATTCCTTTATTTTAACTTTGGTGGATACCTGTTTTGATGTGGGGGGAGGCGATTGCCCTACCCGCTATCGATTCAAAGCGAGTAGCGGAAGCACTCGTGACCATTTTCACAAGATTGGGATTTCCCAATCAAATTTTGACAGACAACGGCTCACAGTTCCGAGGGAAACTGATGGGAGAAGTCTTCCAGATTCTACAAACCCGGCATATCCACACTAGTCCATATCACCCACAGTCAAACGGCCAGGTGGAAAGATTTAACGGAACCTTAATGACGATCCTGAGGAAGTTAGCTCAGGAAAAACTAGAGGTTTGGGATGAGTATCTACCAGCGGCTTTATTTGCCTACAGAGAGGTACCCCATGGATCTACAGGAATCCCACCTGCTACTCTTCTATTTGGACAACCTATTAAGGGGCCCTTGGAAGCCCTAATGAGCACGTGGACTGAGGAGAAGGCGGAAGAGACAGTAGTGACAGCCTCCAAGTATGTGGAGGAACTAAAAGGAAAGTTGGAAATGGGTTGGAAACTGGCAACGTCAAATGTGAAAGCCGCCCGCAAGAAACATGCTGCCCTTTATAATAGGAAAGCCAAAGTCTTCCACATAAACCTGCTTCGAAAGTATTTTGAAAGAACAGAAACTACCCCGGTGCATTTGATGACACTTGCGGTAGCTACGGAGGTCGAATGTGGAGAGGCTGCAGGGGTCGAGTACGCGTTACAACCTCGAGAAACAGCTCAGGACGTGGAAATAAACCCCATCCTGTTGGATTCACAACAACAAAGAATAAGAGAGGTCTTAACTGCACACTCAGCAGTGCTCACAGACAAACCGGGTCGCACAAGTCTGGTCGAGTTTGACATGAAACTGACCAGTACGGAACCGGTCAGACAGAGGTGTTATCCTATACCTTATGCTAAGGAGGAAGCCCTCCAGGCTGAGATTGCTCACCTTTTGCAAGAAGGAATTATCTCCCCTTCTGAATCACCTTATAGTGCTAGTGTTGTGCTCCTAAGGAAACCGAGTGGGGAGCATCGGCTTTGAATTGACTACAGGCAACTAAATGGGGTAACGGAATTCCAAGCTGAACCCCTACCAGACCAAGGACAGCTATTTTCTAGACTTAGTAAAGCTAAGTACTTTTCC